CCTATTTAATTACCTCAGTGTCATTGAGGCAGGACCAGTTTTAGAGGCCACCAAGTGCCTATGGGGCAGGGTAGAACTGCATCTCTAGGTTTCTAAAACCTCACCTCTTCACGGGCGTACGAGGCCTCATCTTTCGCTCTCAAAGAGACAGGTGGCTTCGAACTGCTGACCGCACTGTTAGCAGCCCAGCACAGAACCACTATGCTGCCGGGGGCTCCTAAGATAGCATGCTAAGAAGGGGGGAGGGGGAACAGAGGGGGGGAATTGTCAACATTTAAATAAAAAATAAAAAAACAGGAAGTTCCACAAAGGTAGGGGGTGGGGGTTGGGGCAAAAATCTGAATATCTTAAGTTTAAAAAACAGAGGGGAAGGGAATCTGTTAACAATGGGCCAAAAACAAACAAACAAAAACCCTTACTGCCAGATAGTTGACGACAACTCATCAGCTGTGGGCTTCCAAGGCTGTAGCTCCCTACAGGAGTAGAAAGTCATGTTTTTCTCCTGTGGTTTTGAACTGCTGACCCTGAGATTAGCAGCCCAACATGTAGCCACTATACCACCAGGGCTCCTTGAACACAGGGCAAGTAATCCAAATCAGAAGGGCTAGACTAGCCAGTGTCCCCTGCAGAAGACTGGCCTTCGAGTTCCCAGCTGGCCAGTTGCCCCGCCCACAGACAAGGCACCTTAAGTTTGTCCGTCTAGGGCTCCTAACCCTAGTAACGCTCCGCACTGCCACACGATGGCAGCACTGGTCCATCAACGAATCCCACTCAAACAGCACCAGTCCAAGGGTACCAGCAGCTGAAGCTGGCAGATCCATTGAGAACCAGAAATCTCATCCTTTTGCTTCAGCAGCAATTTGTTCCCGTGTACCCCAGCAGCTGTGCCCCAAAGGGCAAAAGCAGCTCATTTCAGCAACCCCATTATTCTTCAATAACACTAAGGGCCTGCTCCCTCCCCTGGCTGATCCTCCACTTACCCCAACTGCTATTACCATTCTCACCTAAAGAATGCCAAGCCCTAGCTCAGAGCAGAGGAGCGTCTACAAGACAAGCATGCTCCTGCTTAGGTAATGGCAGGTCCTGGCTCTCCCTAGTGCTCACCACTTCTTGTGCCACTTAGGTGTGCCAATGGGTAGCCTCATGAGGCAAGACGGTCTCGTGTTCCTTCCTGGCCTCGGCTCTCACCCCCCTACAGCCTCCGCAGGAACACTGTAAGTACAGCACTTACTCAACCCCTACAGTTCTTTAGGAAAGAGTCTTGGTATTGTCCCCATGCTTCAAATTGCTCTTCCTATCGCATGAAAATACCAGATATGATTCCCACCACTGACTCCAAAAGGTAGGGGGGCGAAATCTTCCATAAGGCACTCAGGTGACGTAGTGGTTATGCATGTGGCTGCTAACCACAAGGTCGCAGTTCAAAGCCAGCAGCCACTCAAGCGGAGAAAACGCTAAATCTCAGAAACCAGAGGCAGGTCTACCCTGTCCTATAGTGTCACTATGAGTCTGAATGGCGGTTTATGTGGGGGGGGGGGGGGGGGGGGCTGGTTTATAAGATAGTCATTGCAGTGGAGGGTGACCCTCAAAGAGATGGGCTGACATCGTGGACTGGCAGGACTGGCCGGTGTTTCCTTCTGTTGTGCACAGGGCCGCTGAGTCGGAAGTGCTGGGACGCACCTAACAGCATGCTAGTGAACCGCCCAAAACCACCCAAGTGTCCGGCAATAAACTGTCAAACACAAACTAGGGCAGCCTTCTTGATGGGCTATTAAAAACGATAAAGATTTTGAAGACCATGTGATAAGATGGAAAAATGATTGCAATATGAAATGCGATGTGAAAAAAAAATCAAAGCTGACTGTTCAGTAATGACGAAAACAAACCCACGGCAGTCTAGTCGACACCGATTCGTAGGGCAGCAAAGTCCCCCAAAGGGTGCAAGCTTTGCGGAAGCAGGCTGCCACAGCTTTGTCCTACACAGCGGCTGGTGGACTAGAACTGCCGACCTTTCAGTTAGCAGCCGAGCACTTTAAACACTGTGCCACCCAGGGCTCCGTGGTAATGACAGCCACCAAAAACATAGAAACAAGAAGAGTTAGTTCGTGGTCGGAGGTCATACTGGAACGCTGAGCGCCTGGGCAGCCTTTTCTTATCCCGACCCAATTTTCTTTGCTGTGTTTTACTTGTGTGTGTGAGTATGCATGAGACAGAGAGAGACAGAGGGAAACTGGGGGATTGGACAGCCCATTTCGAGCTCCCCAGATCTACTGCAATTCAGACTCAGAGGTGCTCTGAGCTGTGTATTCACAGGAAAAGCTCTTGGGAGCCACATACCAGGCTGGTAAACAAAGCTTCCAGAGCCCTGGGGCCCCTGGTTAACCACCAGAGAGATCCTACCCGCAGTGTCAGCACTGAGGAGCCCCCAGCCACCATATGGAAGGCAGGCCACGATCAGCATGATTTTCAGATGCCCCTTTAATCGTGTTTTGCACTAGACAGTGGTGGGCAGTGGAAGACAGTGACTATCTTCAAGACAAGCCAACAGGCAAGCTGAAAGCCTCTTTCCTTGCCCCAGGAGCCTCATTCCTTGGGAAGAAGGCGCACAAAGGGGAGCCAAGCAGGTCTTCTCGGCTTCCCCTCTGCAAATAGAAAACGGAAGAGCGGTATTCTGGCCATCGCCATCTGAGGCCCTTTCACAAGTCACCGATGGGGTGGCAGTGGCTCCCCCCTCCAAGCAGAGTTCCCAGAAGGTGAGAACCCTGAGCACCTGAGGCTGCCACACAGCTGTCTCAGCCTTCAGGCCCAAGCCCCCGGAGCTCCCCTTCCCTGGCCCCTCAGCTTCGGGCCAAGGAGACATGCAGGTATGTGGTGTGGGTGCAAGCGCTGGAGGAGCAACCGTAACGCAATCGGAGGTGGGAGCTGGAGCCCCGCCGGCCGGGGCACGGCAGAGTCGGTGCAGCCGTGCTTGGCCCATGGAAGGGCCCAGAGTGCCCGGTTTCCTCCATCAGTTCTTCTCTGGGCGGTTTCTGTTCAGGGCAGCTTTGGGGGCAAATTCCAGCTTGTCCTTAAGGCTCACCACCTGGGTGTGGTCCTTCCCTAGCAGTTCGTCCAGCTTGCGGTCCTCCCGGCGCTCGGAGATGCTCTTCTCCTCCTCCACGGGCTGGGGGCCCTTCCCCCGGATGAACCACTCCAGGTGGTAGCCCACAGCCCCGACCACGAAGGCCACCGGAAATGTGACATAGGGAGCATAGGTACGCACCACGGTCCAGAGCACCGGCCACATGGCATCTGCAGAAGAGACGGGCAGCATTAGGGGACAGCAGCACTCTTGCCGGCGAATACGGTCAACTCACCGGGGCTCGCCACTCACCAGGCAGCCAGCCCCTGCTGCCTGAGCACTCAGCCTGTCCAGACCAGTGCCCGGCCCTCTGCTCTGTCCCCCAGCTGGGTCCCTGAAACTCTAGGACAGTGGTTCTCCCCCTTCCTCCTACCGCGACCCTTTCATACAGTTCCTCGTGTGGTGGTGATCCCCCAAACCATAACATTATTTTCATTGCTATTTCATCACTGTCATTTTGCTACTGTTATGAATCGGGTGACTCCTGTGAAAGGGTCATTCGACCCCCCCAAAGGGGTCATGACCCCCAGGTTAAGAACTGCTGTTTTAGGAAATTCTGCAAGATTCACTTGTTGGGGAGCAGAGGGACTCGCCTCCCGCTACCTGGCTGCCAGAACGGGCTCGACGGCAGTGAGTCTGAGGCCATGAGTACCCCCTGACTGCTGTGCCCACCAGGATGGCCATGTCCCCCTGGGAGAGCCTCTGCACTTGATCTACCAGAGCCCCAGCCTGGAGCTGAACCCAGGCCCACCTGCTATGGTTCGCTGACATTTCAAGACGAGAAAAGAAGTATTTCTCTGCTCTACACAGTTTCTGCAGGAGCACAGCCAGGTGCAGCCCTCCTCTCCCAGCCCTCCTTGCACAATCCCACCAGGAGGGTCCTAGTTCCAGGACAATGAGAAGGAGACATCTTTAAATTGCCAAACCTCTAACCCATTACCCGACCACTCTGAGTTAAACAGAGGGCTGTTTTGGTTTTTTGCTATTCTGAGCTTAGTTTTTCCAAAGCAGAAATGGGACAAACCTGTACTTTATCTATCTGCCGATTGTCAAAATACACACATTTCACCAAGCCCGTATCTTCCTCCTAGTTGCGTCGTACACCCCCAAAGAACAAACCCAGCGCCATCAAGCCATTCCAATGCAGAGACCCTACAGGATAGAGCAGAGCTGCTCCCTTGGGGTTCCCAAGAGTACGTCTTCACAGGACACAGCCTCATCTTTCCCCCGTGGAGCTGCGGGTGGGCTTGAGCCGCCAATCTTGCAGTGAGCAGCCCATGCTGCACCCACAGCACCAGCCAAGTTCCTCTGTGCATAATAAGCTCCTGACAATGACACCCATCTGGACACCTACACCACAAGCCAACCTGGTCCCACTGTGTCCAGTCAATTCTGTTCAGAGTGGCCCTACAGGCACAACACCCCATAGGGTTCCCAAGGCTGCGGTCTTTGCCGAACCACCGACCTTTCAGTTATAAGCCAAGCCCTTAACCACTGCACCATGAGGGCTCTGAGCCCTGAGCCACTAAGATCTTGAAAATAAGTGACATGGCTCTAGGGCCTCCTGAAATGGCGCAGACTAACACCAAATAATATAAACCCACAAACCGGGTCACTCTACTGGCCTTTAGTCTCAAACGATGATTTCCATTATTAACAAGGAGGAGTCACAATTATCATAATAATGAAAAATGGGACGAAAGAAGGAACATTTTAAGAAAACCAAAATCCTTACAATAAGTAATACCGGACCAATGAGTACCAGGATAATACACGGAGAAGAGATGGAAGTTGTCAAGGACGCCATCTTGCCTGGATGCTCTTGAAGCAGTCGGCAGGAGGTGGAACATCGCATGCATTGCACAGCTTTGCCACACAAGACTGCTCTAAAGTGTTGAAGAGCAGGAGCACCACTTTGAGGACGGAGGGGCACCTGACCCTGGCCAGGGCATTTTCAACCACCTTGTATGCATCTGGACACTGAGTAAGGAAAACTCGAGACAATGGGACGCATTTGAATGATGGTGCTGGTGATATTAACAAAAGCACCGTGGACGGCCAGAACGAACACTTCACTTCTTACACAAAGTGAAGCCAGAGTGGCTCCTGCCAAGCGAGGATGCCAAGACTTCATCTCACGTATTTGGACATGTTATCAGGAGAGCCGGTCCCTGAAAGGACACCGTGCTTGGTAAAGCAGAGGGACAGTGAAAAAGAGGAAGCCCCTTACAAAGAAGGGCCGCCGTGGACGGGAACAACAATTCTGAGTCTGGCACCAGATGAGGCATTGTTTCATTCTGCGGTACAGAAGGGCCCGACAAGTCGGAGGCCAATCCAACGGCCCCTAACAATACCACCAACCCTTTCTGAGCACTTGCTCTGTGTCGTGCGAAAGTTGGAGGGTCCAGGCCACCCAGAGGTACTTTGGAAGAAATGCCTGGTGATCTACTTCTGAAAATCAGCCCCTACAAACCCTGTGAAGGCTCAAGCATCCTGGAGCCATGAGGGTTGGAAAAAGCCCTAAAACTACTGCCCTGAGAGCAGCTTTAATCTTAAACCAAAAATATCCCCAATTCTTTCAAAAACATAGGTCAGCTTAATTAGTAAAAACACCACCTCCCTTGGAGATGATGTTCTTCTAAGAACGTCTGCAAAGATTAGGAAGGAACCTGACAGGTCGGGGGGTTTCATGGGGTTTTTTTTCTCACTGTTTCAGTAGAAATGTATATTTCATAAAATTATCCCAAATTTTGTCGTTAGTTATAACCACAAAAACACCTTTCTTAAGCCACGTACGTGCGTCAATACACCTGTGATTGGTAGGTGCCATCCTGTAGGCGCTCTTACATAACAGAACAGAACACTGCCTGGTCCCTGTGCCATCCCCACAATCGTTTCCACATCTGATCCTATCGCCCAGCCCCTGCGGTCAATCGGTCTCCTTGAGGTGGTCTTCCTGGTTTTCCTGACCCTTCTACTCTACCAAGCATGATAGCCTCCTGGGGCCGATGCTTCCTGATAACATCTCCCAAGTACGTAGGACCAAGGCTCAGGATCGTCCCTTCTAAGAAACATTCTGCTTCACTTCTTCCAAGACAGACTGTTTGTTCTTTGGGCGGTGCTTGGCAAGTCTTCACCAGGATCATAATTCAAAGGCACTGATTCTTCGTTAGTCCTGCTTATTCGGTGTCCAGTTTCCTCAAGCATCGGAGGTCCTTGAAACTACCATGGTTGGACCAGGCTCACCTTAGTCTCCAAAGTGGCATCTTGGCTTTTCAATATCTGAAAGCGTCTTTTCCTGCAGATCTGGCCATTTGCAATGCACTGTTCCATCTCTGGACTGCTGATCCTGTGAGCGGGAATGTGAACCCAAGTAAAAGGCAATCTTTGGCGATTTCTATTTTTCTCCGTTTATCAGGATGTTGCTTGTTGGTCCAGTTGTGAGGACATTTGTCTTATCTGTGTTGCCTTGTAATCCATACAGAAGACAACGATCAAAAGTGCTTCAAGTCTTCTTTGCTTTCAACGAGCGAGGCTGTGCCATCTGTCGATCTCCGGCTTGTTAAGGAGTCTTCCTTGATCTTGACACTGCTCTTGTTTAAAAAGAGGCTTCAACAAAAGCAGGGATGGGGGCCAAAAGGTTTGTTCATGGAATGCCTAAGGCACAGAGTCAACGTTCTCAATCTCACTAAAATGCCGAACTGCATGTGTTGCTAACACTGAGTGTGCACTGAAAACCTTACTGTGTGCCGAACATGGATTCACGCTGAAATCTTAATGTGCACCTCCTGGACGCCCGTGAGCTCACCAGCCAGGTCTGCGCACAGCACAGGCAGAGAGGGCCAGAGAGTCTCTCTGAGGTCGGTGCTTTATGTTAATGTGGGAAGAACAACTCGGGTAAGGCGTCTGAAAATGACTACACAACTCCAAGATTATAGTCGCTATCACTAAATGGGATGCAGAACTGGTTGAATTGGTCTGTGTTCTGCTACGTCCATTCTCAGCAGCAATTAAATAGTTACTTTCCTAAAAAGACAAGAGCATCAGATGAGGCACAGTTCACAGATACACTTGGGTCCCGTGAGCTAGAGCCAACTCAACAGCAGCCAGCTGGCTGATTGCCTGCCGGGCCTTACATCAATGCTCACGTTACTCTGTGAGGCAGGTGGCAGTGTCAGAGGATTAAGGAACTTGGTCAAAAGCGTCGTCAACTGAGAGATCACTGTGTGCGTTTGTGCCCCTGTAGCTATGTCTCCAACTAGGTGACCTCTGTTCTAGAGTATAGCGGCAAAACCTCACCAAGGAAGAAGCACATGATGGCTATGGCTCTCCTAGGGATATGGGGCTGGTGATTCAGATCTCCTGCTTTGAGGATGTGCCCAATGAATGGTGGCCCAGCACTACCATATAGTTATTATTTCAATGCCCTCCCTGTTTTCTTATGACATGTATTAATCTGGGAGACATAGTTCTGCCTTTGGGAATGTGTGTTATTCAAAATTTTGCCCTATCACTAAGCCCCATTTTTTGTGTAAATAGTCATTTAAGTATTTAATCTGTACAAGTCAACAACTCATGTATTTTGGTCTGGACAGCAGCTTATGCATGTACAATTTCCTCTTCTCAACAGTGTTTTAAATTTTATACCATTGACTACATTATTGACACTATCAACAGAATTACCTTATGCCACAGGGGGATAACTGATAATGTTCTCTATCATAAAATGATCATTATGTTTCTAAAGTGAACCAGAGGCATATATATAAACCACAGATACATGGACTTTGAGCTTGCACTTAATTCTAGTCCCAATCTAGGAACAATTCGTCCTTATGACCTGGCCCAGCTCGATGCTCATCCTTACATGAAGAGGCCACTGAAGATATGAGTGCTCTAGCAAAATGTGGTAAAGAAACCAGATGATGCCAGGCTACCAGAAAGAATAGTGTCTGGGGTCCTAAAGGCGTGTCTTAAAACAAGCAGCCGTCTAAGTGAGGCCTCAACTAAGTGCACATGGAAGAAGCATATTGGCCTGTGTGATCCAAGGATTGTAAATAATAAAATCCAAATCTGAAGGCGGGAATGGTGCCTCTGGTGAATTCCCTCTGAACATAGTTCAAGGTTGTGAATAGCCCTGCTATCAGGAAGAAAGCATTGTAAAGTTGGTTATGACAGATGTTGTTAGGTTAAAATGTGATAACTTATCATTTAATCTCTCTTGATGTAAAGTTGTTTCAGGTTTTTAATATTTTCTGCTTTCTTTTTATTGAGGTTTTTCTGTTTTGTCTAACCATTGTTGTGTTTTGGTTTATTGCTTGTTTGGCTCCTGTGTTTTATATAATGGTCTGTATATGACATCCAGAATAGGAAGGTCTATAGAAGCAGTAACTGGATTGATCCTAGGGGCATAGTGGAGGAGGGTGGGGGGAAATAGCAGCTAACAACAAGTATGAGAAGAAAATATTCTGAAGTTGACTCTGATGATTGCATAAACCTTCTTGAATATGATTGAATGGTTAAATTGCATGACATGTGAAGGATATGCCAATAAAACTATTAAAAACCAAAAAACCTCACCAAGGATAAGATGGTTCTCTCCCGCTTTCTCTTTGGTTCCAATTTTCTCTTTGAATGAGTCCAGTTTTTTGTGGATCTAGGAGTATGATGGCTGGACCATCATCAACAGGGAAGAAAAAACAAACAAACAATTCTTGCAGCAACTTCGAGATTTCCCTCCTGGTCCTTCTCAGGACCAGGCACCATACTGGCCAATTTATACAGGAGTCAACACTGATTCTCACACTTCCTGAAATAGAACCCATTAGCCTGGGTGTCTATCTATGGCCACCGAGATTACTAGAAGCAATGGAGTCACTGATTTTAAACCCAGGTTTCTCTAACGTCAAAGCCTAAGAATTCAATGCATGGTAGGTATGTGCATGGTTGTCCTACAAACCCTGGATTGTGGGCCAACTTCCTGCAGTTTTTGCCCACCTCCCCACCCCCACCCCCGCCCACCCCCATCAGCTTAGCATTTCATTAGCTGGGAAAGCCTCCCTTTCTGCAAACTAAGACAGTACTCAAGAGATTTGTGAAATTCTAAGATTGAAAAGTTCAAAGTGCCCCCCTACCCAGAGTCCCAAAACTAATCCTCTATTTTCTTTCTCACCTTTTGAACAAGTTCCCTCTTTCTAAGGAAACTTTTCTCCTAAATCCCAACTTCCCCATTCTAACTTCCAGTGTTGTCAAGTCATACCAAAGCATGAGTTCATACTGAAGATTCTCTCACAGGCAACACAGGGTCTCTCTCGTCCTGTTCACATGACAATTACTACTAAATAGCTCCATTTATTCATTGTGTCAAAGCACTCCGTGTCCCGCTCTACACCAGGCTTATATCCCTCGTCTGTATCCTCATAAAATAAGCTCCAAGAAGCCAAGAACCGTTTCTCGACCACCTACCCCACCTACCACTATGCCGACCTCATTCATTCCCGTCCCTTCATCCCACCGCACCTGGCATAAAGACGTGTTTGTCTGAATGAATGGCAACTTATGTAACTCACTAGGGGAAAAACATGACAATCACCCTCTCTCCTAGCGGTGGCGGGGACACCGTGGCGGCCTTTGCTGACGAGAGGAAGTTATAGCCACTCTATCAAGTCATTCCCAAGCTATCGAAGGGAGAGTGTCGGCTGTGTCTCGTAAACACGTGACGCATATTTCCAGCCCCGCGTGGAGAGAGCGTGCCAAAGCGTCCGGTAAAGGTCAACGGGGCGGCCGGGGCGGCCGTCCTTGTTCAGGGGCCCCGGCAGCTGCAGTCCCAAATACGAGAACTGCGAACAGGGGGACAGGAGGCCTGGGCCGCGTGGAGAGGTAACCCTGGCCGTCACTAGAGTCCCAGCCCGGGAAGCGCAGGTGCGAGCAGGGCCCAAGCACCCTTCCTCCGCTATTGCGTGTTCGGTCCTCTGCCTCTTCCACCAAGTTTATGGCCTCGTCGGCCTCAGGCCGGCGCCGGAGCCTGGGGGGGCGCCGGTGGGCACTCAGATTCGGATCGAAGCCCCAGAAAGAGAAGTCAGACCCGGGCCGGGAGGACACTCGCGATCACCCCTCCCCTAATTCAGAGGTCACTGCCTAGAGCCGTCTCTTGGTAACAAACGGCCCCGGCCACCCCCCCGGCCAGGGAGCTGCCCGCCGGGGGCCGTCGGCTCACCTGCGCCCCAGCCCCACTCGGTCCAGTATCCCGGAGCACAGGCCTCGCCGTTCCCGGGGGCTCGCGGGGCCTCGCCCCCTCCCCCCGGCCCGCCCACTGGCCGCCCGCGCTCTCGGAGCGTGGGGATTGGCTGAGCTCCCAGCCAGAGACAGGAGAAAGCTACGCGTCTGTAGCGGAGCCCCGCGCCACTAAATGAGAGCAGCGCCCTCTCCTGGCCAGGAGGTTTCCCAACGATGCCGCTGCGAGCTTTTCGCGTGGAGAAAGTGAACGGTCATCATCCATTCAATGACGTTTATCAGGTCTTCGTAAAGCCAGATCCGAGCACACAGGGAAAGAAAAGACATGATTCCCTGACCTCAAGAAACGTTCCTCAGCAGCGTGTAGCATACAACTTAAAACCTCTTCCTATCTGAACTACCTTTCTATCTCCGTGACCTTGGAAACACGAGTACAGTACCTGTCTTGAGCCTCCTTCCCCCGCTCTGAGTAACGGTAATAGTACCTATTTCATAGCGGTGTTGTGCACGACAGATGAGATGGCATGTGTGAGGTGCTGTGCCCGCCGCTTAGTGTTGTTTTCGGACCTGATGTTAGCCTGAAGTCCCTCCGAGGTGCACGTGGTTTGCAATCAGATGCTAAGCTATGGGTTGTCCGTTCAAACCCACCCAGCAATAGCGCGGTTTAAAAAAGGCCTGGAAGTCTGCTTCTACAAAGTCTACAGCCAAGAAAACCCTATGGAGCTCAGTTCTGCCGTAGCACATGGAATCACCATGAGTCCAGGTGGCATAATAGCAGTCTGTTTGTTCGGTTTGGGGTCTGGGAGTCCCGGGGGCGGGGGGTGCACATGCTGAAGTGCTCGGGTAATCACGGAAAGATTGGAGGTTGGAGTTATCCTGAGGGCCCTCAGAAGAAATGCCTGACAAACTACTTCCCAAAAAATCAGTCCTTGAAAACCCGAAGAACACAGCTGTACTCTTGATACACATGCCATGGTAAGTCAGGACAAACTCCATGGGAGCTGGCTTGGTTGGGGTATTGTTAGTTTAAAAATCAATAAAATTGAGTAGAACTGAACCTAAGCCTTAACCTGATTCTTCAGGTACAAGTAGTCATACTTTGCTATGTGCCCCTACTGTGCCCTGTACATAACCTATTTTATCAGTTACCGAGTGTAAAAATCCCCATAACATAAGCTCCTTGGCACGGTTCAAACAAACAAAAATCATGATAGCCCCCGGGTCCATTTCCACTCCCAGCATCCCCGTGTGCTATAGAGCAGACTGCTCTGTTGCTTTTCTTAGCTATAATCTTTACAGAAGTAGATTACCAGGCTTGTCTTCCTTGGCACCTTTGGGTGTATTCAAACCAGCAATCGTTAGCAACCAATGGAAAACCATTTGCACATGAGGCTCCTAGCAAGAGTCTCTTAACATTCCTTCCTGGCCCTGTCTTTCCATGCTAACCCCACCAATCTCAGCTGGCACAATCATTTGCCTCTGTTAACACAGCCCTAACCAAACCAAACCCACTACCACTGAGTCAATTCAAACTCATGACTCCTGCATTCCCCATCCCAGACCAAGTTTTGCCTTGCTGTTGGTATTAGGTGGCATCGAGTTGATGCTGACCCATAGCGACCCTATGCACAACAGAACGAAACACAGCACCGTCCTGCCCCGTCCTCACAGTTATTCCTGTGCCTGAGCCCATTGATGCTGCCACAGGGTCAATCCATCTCGTTGAGGGCCTTCCTCTTTTGCACTTTAGTGGACATGATGTCCTTCTCCAGGGACTGGTCTTTCTTAACAATATATCCAAAGTATGTAAGACATAGTCTTGCCATCCTTACCCGTAAGGAGCACTCTAACAAGACAGATTGGGAACAGAAGGATTTCTCTTAAGTTGTCTCCCCAAAATATATGCCAGATTTAGCTTGAGAATGACTGTTCACTGGGCAGCGAAAGTAGGTCAGAGGTTAATCTCCCTAACATCAGCCATCTAGACTGTATAGTCTGACTCACCCTAAGTAGGGCCCACTCCCTTCTGATAAGGATAGTGGTTGTCTGTTTACTTGTAGGAGACACCAGAGAGGGCAAACCCGCCCAAGGATGACCGAGGCTAAGTAGCCATTATCAGCTGTCTAGATCAAGCAGACACCACTGTTTATCCCACAACAAATGTGGGCACACCCTTCGGTCATCCCCCTCCTATTGATTGTATTGCCTATGTCGCTACCCCTCCCTGTGACTTAGGTTATTGTCTGCTATCAGGCGACTTGCATGCCTCCCAGAATAGTAATTGTCTTTTATTGTATGAGACACCAGAATGATCAAACTTGTTCAAGAATGAAATGTATTGCCCCTTTCTGTGATGTATGACTCTGTAATCAGATCCCCCTAAAGTGATATGATGCGTGGTTAGCAATAAATAATGAGGCTCCCTGGTTCTCGGGAGGGTGGCTGGCTGAGAGGTGGCAAAGGAGGATGAGGTAGCGGCTTCTTCTCTGACGGCTAAGCCCCCCTCCACGAGGTCCATCAAGTGGGGCTGAGGTGAGCAATGCTACCATGAATTGCGTCTGACTCCATTACTTGACTCCATCTTTTAACTCTCATGCTCTCTATGACTTTACTATAATCTTTACTTGTTATCGCTGTACAATTGCGCCTACCGAACCTGTGATGTTTTGTGGGGTTCCCTCTTCCATTTAACCCCACAGTTCCTTTAGCAGGCCATGGTACTTTCAGTATTCTTCTCCAGCACCATGATTCAAATGCATGTATTCTTCCAAGGCCTCCCTTACTCAATTTCCAACTTTCACATGCATATACATGATGCAATGGAAAATACTATGTCTTGGGTCAGGTACACCTTCTTCCTCAAAGTAACATCCTTGCTTTTTCAGGCTCAAAAGAGATCTGTGCAGCAGACTTACCAAACGATGCACCGTTTGATCTCTTGACTGATGCTTCCATGAGCATTGATTGCGGATCCAAGTAAGACAAAATCCTTGACAACTTCCAACTTTTCTCTAGTTATCATGATGTTGCCTGTTGGTCCAGTTGTAATGATTGTGGTCTTCTTTACATTGAGTCGTAGTCCATACTGAAGGCTACAATTCTTGATCTTCATCAACAAGTGCTTCAGTTCCTCCTCTCTTTCAGCAAGCAATGTGTGTCATGTGTATACCGCAGGTTGTTCATAAGCCTCGTCCAATCCTGATGCCGCACTCTTCTTCATAGAATCCAGCTTCTCTGATGATTTGCTCAGCATATAGGTTGAACAAGTATGCTGAAACACAACTTGCCGCATTTTCCCATTCAGTATGCCCCTATTTTCCCTTTCTTGGTTTTAAGCCAGGCAGTATTCCCTTGTTCTGTTCTCACAACTGCCTCTTGGTCCATGCACTAATTCTGAATGAGCACAATGAAGTGTTCTGAAACTCAAGTTCTTCTCAAGGTTATCCACAGTTTCTTATGGCCAAACAGCAGAATGCCTTTGTATAGTCAATTAAATGCAGTAGTTATATAATTTCATGTCAACTTGAAATAGATAAAAGTGTAGGGATCATATTCAACTTGTCAATCAAGTCATGGCCCGGTGGTACCTCCTTGTGGGCGTGGCCTTCTCATAAGGAGGGCCCTGGGAACATCCTCTTCTCTCTCTGCCTTCACCTTCCTGCTGGAGGGCCACTCTGGGACGGGTCAGAGCCCTGTGATACTTCCACCACCAGTGGACCCACAAGACTTTGCACCCACTGGCCTGTGATACTCCTGCGTTCTGCATCATTGCACGTGACTTCATGAGTCTGAAGAGGGACTTAGGTGACTAGTATCAGACTTATGGACTTGAATTGGACTGGACTGAGGTGTTTTCTCAATATATAATTACTTCTTGATATAAGGCTGTCTCATACATATATATGTGTGTCTCTGAATTTGTTTCTCTGGTCAACCCAGCCTAACATAACATCTTTCTGGTATTCTCTGCTTTGAGCCAAGATCAATAGAATATGCCTGTTCCACATCCTCTTCTGAATCCAGCTGGACATCTGACAGTTCCCTATCAATGTTCTGCTGCAACCTTTGTTGGATGATCTTAAGCAAAATTTTACTTGCATGTACTATCAATGATATTGTTTTATAGTTTGAACATTCTGTTGGGTCACTTATCTTTGGAACAGGCACAAATATGGATCTCTTCCAGTCAGTTGGTCAGGCAGCCGTCTTCCAAATTTCCTGGCACAGATGAGTGAGTGTTTCCAGGGCTTCTTCAGCTTGCTGAAACACTTCAATGGGTATTCAGTCAATTCCTGAAGCTTGTTTTTGGCTAATGCATTCAGTGCACTTTGACCTTCTTCCTTCAGCACCACTGATTCCTGTCCATACACTACCTCCTGAAATGATGGAATGTTGACAAGTTTTATTTTGTTTTGCTTTTTGTAGAGTGACTGTGTATTCTTTCCATCTTCTCTTGATGCTTCCTATATCATCCAATTGAATCTATAGAATCTTTCTATAGAATCTTTCAAAATTGCAATTCAAGCCTTGAATTTTTTCCCCTGAGTTCCTTCAGTTTCAGAGATGCCGAGTTTCTTCCCTTTTGGCTCTCTAACTCTAGGTTCTTGCACATGCTGTCATAATGTTTGGCTTTGTCTTCTCGAGCTGCTCTTTGAAATATTCTTTTTGTTTTGTTTTTAGCACACCCAGGTTTAATATACCCATGTTTCATAGATAGATAGATAGATAGATAGATAGATAGATAGATAGATAGATAGATAGACAGACAGATAGATAGATATTAGGGGCTAATACAACTCTTATCACAATCCATACATACATCAATTGTGTAAAGCACATTTGTACATTCATTGCCCTCATCATTCTCAAAACATTTGCTCTCCACTTAAGCCCCTGGCATCAGCTCCTCGTTTTTTCCCTTCCCTCCCCGCTCCCTCCTCTCTCATGAGCCCTTGATAATTTATAAATTATTATTTTGTCATATCTTGCCCTGTCCGACATCCCCCTTCACCCACTTTTCTGTTGTCCATCCCCCAAGGGAGGAGGTCACATATAGATC